TATAATTCAAAAATTTTTTTTAAATTACAGTATTTCCAATTACTTTCTCATTTACACTATCTGTACGACTTTTTAATAAATCTATGCACATTAGGGCAATAATGCATTAAAAACTTTTATTATGCAATTATTTTATGTTTGACCATTTTTGCAGACCTAGCAAGTAATTTAAAAAATCAAAACTTCTATTAATTTTTGTTCAAACAAACCAAATCGGAAATATAAAAAACTGCAAGTATGTATGCATGTATTTCCACCATTACAGGGCTTTTACTTTGAAATTACAAAATTCCAAGAGATTCTTATGAGATTATTATTAAAATGAATTTTTTTTTTTTTGAAAAAAGAAGAAAGAAAATTATCTTAGAATATAAGAAAATATTTGAATAAATTAAAGATCACATTAAATACTTCAAATATATTTGTATGTAATATTATAAAAAAATGCAATTTACATTCTGTAATATGTGGTATGTACTAGCACATTATATACGAACAAATATGGTACATAAAATTCATCACCAAAATCAAATATAATTCCATATATACAAAGTGTAAGTTGCGCGCAGAAAAAAAAACAAAAACAACAATCAAAAAAATTATATTTTCTTTTTCTTTGGTTTTACTCTTTCGGAAAACAGAAAGAAAATGACCAAAGAAAAGAAAAAATTCAATTGGCGCCTCCGAGATAATAAATTAATGGATAAGTCTCCGTATTGTATCATCATCAAAATCATCATCATCATTATCATCAATATCATCATCACCAACATCAAGATCATCATTAATGATATGATTATCATTATTATTATTCTGTTGACGAATTATTAACATCGCAGTATGATCAGATAAAGCTGTAGACTGTAAAGCATCATCATTATCATCATCAGCATCATCTTTTTGTTATCAATTATAATTAAGATCATCATCATGTTAATCAATATCATCATCATTATCAAATTTATTTAAGTTTTAAATGACTTTTGAATTTGAAATTTAAGAGAACCAAAACAAAGGGGTAAAAAAATAGATTTTCCTGTTTTTTTTTTTGTCAATTCTATTACTCTTTCCGGGAACTATTTTAGCTATAATTCACATACTTATATGCCTACAATAATTTTCATTGGTAGATGGAAAATTTTTTAACATTTCTACACTTAAATAAATGTATATACGTACGTATGTGTCTATGCGTGTAATTTTAGATCTTAAAATGCCGAAAATTTTATACAACAGAGGCATTCCTTAACATATTGTGAGCATCTTTATTAATATCATTGCCATTAAAAATAAAAGAGGAATTAAATTTAAAGTTGTTTTTTTTTTGGTTTTTTTTCTCTTCTTACATTTCCTTTACTTGCATATAAGCGTATGTAATTTGAAAGAGAAACAAAATGATTGAGATTTTTTTTTTTTGTAATCTAAGAAATCGAAAAAGAAATGAATTACATTATTAAATCAAAAACATGTTAAGAATGTTGTTTATAATGGCGACGATAGTAAAGTTCTTCAGCGCAGTCGCACAAGCAACGTAAAGAAAAAAACAAATAAACAAACGAAAATCTCACGTAAACCTCTATGGAACAAAAAAAAATTCATTTTATACTTATGTACATTAGCCAGGTTATGTTTTTTATAAAATTTATTATTCGTATTTTATGCCATTATGTAATAACAAATACAACTACATTGATATACGCGTTTTCAAACACATGTAACCGTACATGTGTTTTTTGTTCTTCTTTGGTTCTTTTATTATTCATTTGGTTTTACGAACTGTTTATATTTAATTTATTAGATGTCATCATGATTGAATTAATTATGAGGTATTTTGAGAATTTATGAGATTATTTCTCTTGTAAATTTTAGATTAATTTCATATAAAAAAAAATGGAAAAAAAATTTGTTTTTTATATGCATGTATTCTGTACTATTAAAAATATTTCACAAAGAATAACCATACTTTAATACACTTTTGATATTTCCACAAATAATGGAAGGCCATAGGCAGAAATAAGCGCTCAAAATACATTGATACACTACAATAATTAATAATTAAATATTATAAATTCACTTTCATTGCAGAACATAAAGAAAAGAGCGGGATTCTAAAGCACATACACACACTTTTTGTCAAGGAGAACCGAATAACTGTGAAGTGTATCGGCAGACACTTAACTATGGATTGCACTGATTCTAAGCCACAGTATGTCAGATGCTTGGCTTATCCTTATTTTCTGCGGCTGTGCTTTGGTATCTCTGATATTTTATGGTATTCTTTTTCTATTTCTAATTCCTTTTACTTTGAAAGTACTTTTATACTTTTCCTGCACACACTAACGTATGTTGTCATTTACGTCGGCCAAAGTTTTCTTTACAAGATGGTTCTTTTATTTATTAATTCTGACGTGTTATTAGATATCCACAACTTTCTCTGTGGATTATTAGGGCCAATAAATTGAACGTTTTACTTCTGAAATTTTGGTCAAAATCAATTTTCTGCGATAACACAAAACTCTTTGTTTTTTATATTTTTAGGTCTTCAGTATACTAAACCACTTCCTAGAATTTATAGCTATGACCGACAATTTGAGTCTTATTTCGCAGCACATTATCTGTTTTTAAGTCCCGACCTGTCCATTATTCTGAAGTTCACTAGCGAGGGTCTCCATTTTTTACTAATGAACATAATCGTAAATCTGGTTGTTTTTTGCACCTTCTGGATATGTTTATAAGCATCCTTTTATGGAAATCATACACCACCACTCTAACAAGATTGCGTGTTCTATACACAATTCCTTTAGCCATTCACCATTGTTATTTAATACATAAAATCCATTTTTCTGCAAAATCGCTCATAAGTATCAGAATATCTATGCGGGGAACCTTGCATATTGCTACTGTTAACTGCTCAAACAGTTAGTTTTTTCGATTTTTGTCAGTCACTTCCGTTGGTGGGGTTGAATGATTGAAATCTTCTTAATTCTTGTGTTTAGTCTAGAGTAATCGGTCTATTTATTAAGAGTTCTCAGTTTAAGAAAGGAAAAATCTTTACTAAATTTATTCAGACTGCTGCTTTCCAGTGTCAGAACAATTAACTTTAGATAAACATGTGAGCCGAATTAAAAATGTAATTGAAATAAAAATTCGCTTCAATGAAGTTCAAACCTACTCGTAACATAATCTCTATAAATTCATGAAATTATTTTTGCTAATGTTTGCACACAGTAAAAGTATTGAATATAGATATGATCATTTTTACCCGTACAGTCATTTATAAAAACTTGAAATTCATAATTAACTATACATACATAATTTCAATAGATTTGGAACAAAAAATCGGGTGTAGACATTTTTACTTCTTATTTTTTTAACTCTGTTACTCTCCTATATATTTTTTTTAAATTTTTTAAGCTGCTGTCCAAAAATTCCATTATAAATGGCGTAATTTCGTTAAAGCCAAAAAAAATGTTTTTCTTTTCTTAAACATAAAACAGAACATGAAATGTCATTAAAATTCATTCTGCTAAAAAAAAAATTCATAATATGAAATGAGTACCACACACGCTATTCACTCATAATATCTAACATGGACATGACCCCTACAGTTATATATTTTACCCAATTTTAATTTTTTACAATAATTGAAAAAAAAAACAAACCAACTATAACGAAAAACACCACACCGAATTCTTTATGCTTCTTATTTATTTCTGTTTATTGTTTCTCATTTTTTCCTCATATTATGCTATTAAGATTTCATAACTTACTTCGTATGTATTAATGTATATATAACCATGACGTCTTTTCCAAAAAAATGTAATATAGTTTTTTAGAGTTATAAGAACGCTCATATTTCTTTTCAATTCCTTCCGAAAAGACGTTATTTAAGAAAAAAAATCACCCCCATTTTACTTGAAAACAATAAAATGACACGTTACCGAAATTTATAATATATTTCTGCCAATTCTTTTGTAACAACATTTTCTGGAACAGAGGCAAATGTTTTCAGAATTCGTAATTGTAAACAGGCTTTTCTTAAAATACAAAAGATTTCTGTGAAAGTTACGGATCTCTCTACCCGTTCGCTCACTTACGGAAGTTCGCTATTCGATTATATACAATTACACTATGGCGAATCTTGGACTTAAATGCACGTGTATGTATATCATAAAATCAATTTTTCATCGGTTATGAATATAATAATATACACATACATACCTTTATATTTCTATTTTAGAAATTAAACAGCGGCCAAATATAAAAAAACATAACCAACATGACTGACAAAAAGAATGAAAAATAACAACAAAATAAAATGAAAAAAAAAAGAAAAAATTGTTAACATAACATTCACTCCCTTTCTTTCTCACTGTTTTTATTCCCCAGTATTGCTCCCTCATTTAATTTTTATATTTTTTGAATTTTTTTTTGTTTTTATTTATGTTTTTTCTTCAACGTTACCTCTCATTCGTTTTCTCTTTCTCACCATATTTTACACGAAATTTTATAGGCTAGGTTGGCGTCATGTCTAAAAATATGGCCGCAAAAGCGCGGTATTCAAGAAACGAATAATAAGAATTTGAAAAAAAAAGTAATAACATTAAAATAAGAACGAAAAGGGGAATTAAAAGAAAATGATATTATAAAATAAAGGGAACAAACAAATAAACATTAAATAAATAATAAATGAAGGAACAAAAACAAACAAATTGATTCCAATTTGGTGGTGGCGCGTTTCATTGTGTATGTGGTATGTATCGTTGCCGTTCTTTTTATTATTGTTATATTATACTTATTTTATATGTTTCGAAGTATATTAGCTCAATGTTACGGACATCTGCTATATATAATATTATGGGTATAATCAAAAAAAGGAAGAAACATATGTAATTAAAAAATAAAAGGAAAACCTATATACTAATATGTTATATAGCTAAACCTATAACTAATATACAAACTTATGACAAGTTCTTTTAACCGTATACAAAACACAGAAAATGATGAATCTGTTTAATGAGTTATGGAGTAGTGGGTAAGTATAACTAAATAATGAAGGCAATTGAACAATTTTAATCCTAGGACTACTACCCGAATCAACTGGTATTGTGTACTTACAAAATGCTACAACTCCCTGAACGAAACAGCTACATATGCCGATGAATAAGTCTCTAATAATCGTTACAATTTACAAATGTAGTAACAGTTAATGAGTGCATACTTCTCCAAAGAAGTTAAATTTTTTAAAAAGCAAAGCCATCTCGATATTATCATTCATTAAAAAAAGATGTATAGAAAGATACCTGAATCTTTTTATGTGTATAGAAAATAGTAATTCGGATACTAGTTTATCAGACATAGGTTAACCTTTATTTTGTATTTATTATATCTAAGGCTACTACATATGCATACAACAGAATTAATAGTTGCCATTCAATTTTAAGTTAAAAGCTCTAGAATTTTGTTTGTATTCTATACACAATTAAAAGGATCAACCAAATTCCTCACGTAATTTTAATCTCAAGAAAAAAAACATACATATTCCTTATGAATTTTAGCGTGGTAGCAAACAAAGAAACTGAAAATGTTTTCTTCGTAAAATTCTTCTCGGTTTTAAAAATTTTATTTAATTTTTTGATCTAAACCGATTTAATCGATTAATGTATTCAATTGTTTGATTTATATTTATTTATTCGATATAGAAAAGAACTAAAAACAAATTAAGAAAAGAAAAATAAGAAAGAAAGAAAAAATAAACGAACAGAAAAGAATTTAGTTTAGAATTAATGGAGTATGGCAATTTCAATTAATTGGGAGGCAAAAATTATATTTGGAATAAAAATAAGACGTTCTAACCGGGGCGAAGATGATTACGTTTTATTTTGGTTTTGATTTCTTTTTCTTTTTTCTCTGGTATTATTCTTAATAGAATTTTCGCTTTTAATTAAAATATTCGATTTATTTAGAAATTTTTATACTTATATATATAAAAAGTTAATTAATTTCAACTTTACTTTATTTATGTTAAGGTTATTTAGCAGCGTATAGTAGCACAATTAAAATAAATTAAATATAAGATTGAGAAACACATAAAAATTTATTTAAAATCAATTAAAATTTAATTTAATTTAAGAGAAAGAAACAGCCATTATTTCAATTAGTTAATTGACTAATTTTTTTAGAAAAATTAATTCTTACCACAGAGTAATTAAAATTCTATCACCATACTAAAACAAAACTTAATACAACACTATACAGCACAGTTTCAAATGTGATTAAAAATTAAAACAGCAGTATCATCAAGCAAAGGAATCACTTATAGCAGCCAACACATATATTGTAGAGCCTGGAATACACAGATGACATCGTTCTGCTGACACACTCAAAATAATTACCAAAATACTCTAACCAAGAAGAGTTATTAATTTTTAAGTAAAATTTTATCAGTTTTGAAAGAATCTAGAAGTGCAGATACTCTTAATAACTTCAGACCTATGGCCATTTCTTCAGTGTTCACTAACATTTTTCAAACTGTTGTTAATAAACAATTACTTACCGAGAATCTATATCTTCCAAATCTCCCAAAAAAACAACAGCACAGCTGCACATAAGCTGCTCTTTTCAATATTATTACTGAGATTCAATCTTCAACTGAGATGCCGCCTTCTTTGATGCACAAAAGGCATTCGATAGTATAGATCGAAAAATATTACTAAAAGAACTGTTTGAGTATGGCATGAGTGAAAAAGAGTATAATTGGTTTCAAAATTACCTCACAAGTAGGTTACAGTATGCAGATTATGAGGGCTTCACTAGCAACATTTAGCCAAAAAAATTCAGAGTTATATACACAAGTTCAATTCACTTCTTTTCTATATATATACATAAACGGTCTAGTTAAGCTTAATCTAAATGGGAAGTCCCATGTGTCCGCTGATGATTTGGTTATAGTATAGATTGGTAATACCTATGAAGAGCTAGAACATAAAGTAAATAATCATCTAGTACTAATTCAAAATTGGCTTGAATTTCATAAGCTTATCATTAACATAGACAAAATAAAGTACATAAACTTTAAAAGAGAAATAACAGATGAACTAAACTTGAGGATTGATTTAGACGAACTGGCAATTGTACATAGTTATAAGTACCAAGATCTAATATTAGACGAAAAAATTACTAGTAAGGAACCAATAAAAGAGCAACTTATGAAAGCTAGAAGAATAGCAGAAACATTTAAATTATAATAAACGATGAATTTTCCATAAAATGAAAGGGTTGCAGTATTTTAATGTTCCCTTCATTCTACCATATCGCATTCATATTTGGGGTAACGCAGTTAATAAAAAAGAAATGCTAATTCGAAGAGCCCAAAATAATGCAATAAAAAATTTTTTTTTGGTATCCTAATAGAACGGCACACGTGAAATTCCGTGAATGTGAAAATACGTAAAGCCGAAATTGGAATATTGTCCATAAGCAGATCTCACATCATACAGCAAAAAGTCCTCTGCTCTTCTATACAATGCTGACTTGAATACTTGTCTACAACAAAGCACTCTATCCTTATTTATGCTTGCAAATTATTTAAATTTCATTAATAATAACATGAAAATAGCAACTTCCTACTGCAATAAAAATATTATTAAAGTAATTGCTTTTAAATGCTTATATAAATTTTTTATTACACTTTATAACTATTCAAATATAATTGATAAAACGTGTCAAAAAATTTAATGATGACAAATTTTAACAATTCATCATAAATTCAATGCAGTCATATGGTCTTAAAAGTTTAATTACCTTGTATATTAATGTAAAAAACTAAAAAACCACCAACACAACATCACTTTCAATTTTTTTAACAATTTTTTAAATACATACTTTATGCATCATTAGTTTAATATTAGCATAGATAATAATTATGTGCATGTTATTATAACTGCTTATAACATAATACGAGTATAAGAAAATTGCAAAATTATTCATATTTATTTCAAATATAATATTTTATTACCGATATACTCTTATTACCGACCGTATTGTGTAAAAAATAGGTAGGTTATGTGATGGCAACAAATTTTGCATATCGAGTTTTCGGTGGGAACGTACTTCTCCATAGTAGGGAAGTGTAAATAAACTATTTTTAGCAACCTGTCGGTCTGTCCGTCCGTCGGTCTGTGTGTGTACGCGTGTATCTCAAGTTCGGCTGAACCGATTTTGATGAAATTTTATATGTAAGTTTGTTTCCACCATGGCACGGATCGATCAACTTTTGGTATATATCAGGCCTCGGGAACTGCACTTTTTAGCGGGCCTGTTTTTGAACATTTTGAAGAAAATATTCAACCGATTTACTTGAAATTTTATATATGACCGTCCGCAAAAATTCGTATGTTTTGGAAGAAATCAGGCATCGGCAACTAGACGTTTACTACGGGCCAAACATACACTTTTGTGTATATAAAGAGAAATAATCAACCGATTTCATTGAAATTTAATATATGAATTTCCCGTATTAAAGCAATGAACATATAACTTTTTTGGAAAGATCATTGCTCGAGAACTGATTTGCGGGCCGATTTTACATTTTTCACCATATCCACAGAACAAATTGATGGAATTTCTTGAAATTTGATATTTGAGTTCTGGTTGTTACCGAAACTAACTGGCGAGCATTTCAGGGAATTCGGGTAGCACAAAGCGAAACTCTACTAAGAGCCAAATTTACATTTTTCTAAGTATGTTAACTATAAGCTTACTAATTTCCTAAAAATTGGAAAGAAGTATTTAACAGTCATTTTTATAATATTCTGTAACACTTTCATTTAACTAGACAATACACAATGCGGTCGGTTATGTGCTGACCAAATCAGATTTTTTTATATACGATCACATTCAATTCAATAACAAATTTTATAGTATTTAAATTTGTACTACTTAAATAAAATTTCAATACACAGAGTGTATTAAAAACAGTCCCATAATTCATAATTTTTGATGTAAATTATTATTAATACAATTTTATACATATAAATATTGTGTATGTCACGAATTCAAAAGTTTTTCTTTAACAAAATTGTTTTTGATTTAATATTTAATATTTTCCAAGTCGGAATCATATCTGAGTTGGTGACACGATATCAAATGATAATATTATTATGGTTGTAACTGCACTGTCAAAAAATAAAACCAGTTCTTTAATGGTATTTTCCTATATATAAATTTTCATAGTAAGTATACTCATTGACAATGTAAATATGAATATATATGTCAGTATGTATGTTGTAGGGATCTATTTTGTACTGCAACCACATATACGTATGAATTAAATTTTTTTTAAGATGTAAAAATATTTTAATAACTTTTGATATAGTAAAAATTTAATCATTACCGTAAAACGAAATTTTATTATCTTTTTGTAATTTTTCAAGTTACAAAATTTTATTCACAACATTTCCACTAATAAACAGCCAACCACTTTTCATTGCACCAAAAAAACATGACAAAAAATAAATGCACAAACTGAGGTTTATACAAAAACGACAAAAAAAAACAAGCAATGAAATTGAAAATCCACTTATGATAAAATTAAAAAAAAAAATAAAAATAACAAAAAAGGAAATTATAATTGACTAATTTTTTTCCCCACCCTTTCTTTTCTATTCAATTTAAAATACTATACATAAAATAGTTTTTCTCTATCTTTTTACTTTCTAAATACTGCAAAGTTCAAACGGTATATAATTGCATTTAATTGTGCGGTATATTTTGTATATATATATATATATAGGATTTTTAAATGGAGACATTCCTGAAGATTATTTTTTGTTTTATAAGTGCGGCGGTGCACATAATTTTTTTCTTTTATTCTTTTTTCAATGGATTTTGACTATCCACCGTGTATTTACATTAACGGCACTATAATAACTCATATACATATTTACATATATACGTAAGCCTAATATTATTATAATAGTATATATAATAGTTTAGACGACAGATTGATTATTTGGATATAGACGGGTGTACATA